CCCCCCCCCAGCCCCTCTGGTAACCATCAGTTTGTTCCCTAGAGTGGAGTCTGTTTCTTGGTTTGCCTCTACTCTCTGTCTCTTTCCCCCTCCCTTTGTTCCTTTGCTTTGTTTCTTCAATTTCACATAGGAGTGAAATCATATGGTATTTGTCTTTCTCTGGCTTATTTCACTTAGCGCTAGACTCTCTAGCTCCATCCGTATCAATGTGAATTAGCCTATAGCTTCAAGTGAAGCCTTTTGGAGACCAACCTCATCAAGCTGATCAGAATGCCCAGGTGTCATTTCCATGTCTTCTAATCAGGGAAAATATGTATCTCTTGGCTTTTCTTGAAATGAAACAGACAAAAAGAAATGTCAGGCTACATCAGGTGGGTGAAATGAAAATTTAGACAATCTCGAAATTACACGGCAGAGGGGAAGGGCGGGGAAGGGAGGAAAACAGTTCGGATCACAGAACAGGTTTTCAAAGCAGAGGTCTACACCGGACCCCCACACTGACTCCGTTGTAAAGGAGGGTCGCGAAATGGGCCGAATGTATGGATTTTTCTTTCCGTCTTTCTATTCTGCCTGGTGCCAGAAAGAAATTACGACAGCACCAGCTGTGTCTTTGGACAAATATTCAACAAGTGTTTATAGAGTGAAGTCAGCGGGGGGCGGGAACGATCCGGAGGTGGACTGATATTCTAATCTAGGTAGAGACCTCCCAAGGGGTGATTTAGGGAGGCATAGCAAGGAATTAAGGGTTAAAAATCTACATACACTGTGAAGTGGTTTTGCAGGGTCTGAGTGGAGCTGCCACTTGCCTGGGGTGGGCAGGGGGTCCTCTTCGGCTTGGGAGAGATAGGGGTGACTTTCCCAGAGGTGCCCCAGAGGGATGCAAGGAGGGGGCCCTCTCCTGGCCAGTTGTCAGCTAAAGGATCCCGAGGCAGAGAGGCTCTCCCAGTCTCCTTCTGCACATGAGGGTTAAGAAAGCTGAGGCTGAAGGCAAATTCGGGGTGTGAGGCGTGGGGTGGGGGAGGGGTGATGGCGGAGCACGGAAGGCTGAGCCTCCGACCCTCACCACCACCACCACTTCTGAGAGGGGAGCGTGGGTGGTTGGAGTGGAGGGTTTTAGGGTCAGATTGTGAGGTCATTGATGGGGCAGGAGGGAGAGGCCTGGGAGGGGCTGAGGGGCTCTTTCTGGAAAGAGAAGTACTTCAAGGCAGGCTCTGAGTACGGCAGCCCAGGGAAGGCTGCCGTGGCTTCTCCTGCTCCCTCGGGGCCTCAGCCCGCAGCCCTGTGTCCCTACGGAGCTCATCATCCCCACTGAGCTGTCATCAACCGCCAGCCTAATTAAAACCCCAGTACCTCTCCCTGGGCCCCTAACCTCCCCTCCGGCCCTGCTAGGACAGCACAGCCCAGAGTTCTGTAGGGTCCCCTGGAACCTGCGATTCCCGCCAGGCTTCCTGTGGCTGTCAGCTCCCTGTGTCTTCCTGGTCATCATGCCCTCACCCTCTGTCCCCTGTGCTTCTCTCTGCCCCCCCCCCCCCCCCCCCCGCCCCACACACCATCTCCCACTGCCACAAACGCTACCCTCTCAGCTCTGTGAAGTCCCTACTTCCTGTACGACCAACTCCCCCGGGTCCTCGGATCTGCGCATTCACTTCCCTCTCCGCACACAGCCCTCAATGCAATCATGCCCCCCCACCCCCAGCCTCGTCCTGCTCACGGAAATAGGGACGCACGCACCTACGCAAAACACAGGGACCTCAGGGGCTGAGGTCACCCACGTCCTCGCTTACCACCCTCCAATATGAGAGGAGGAGATGGGGGGGGGGGCCAGGCCAGCTTCCAGGAGGGTCCGCCCCTTCTTTCCCTCCCCCGTGAGTGCCCTCCACTCACTAAAATGCTGTATGGGGCCTCTCGGCTTTCTGATGGCCGGGTTCCTGCAGGTGCCCGGCTGCTAGATGACTTCTCATCCCTCCCCAGCGAGTCTCAATTCTTGGGGTGAGGAGGGGGTTAGCTTGGAGTCCTCGGGCGCCCTTGTCCTCCAGCAAATCACTTCAGGGCTGATGGGGGGAGGCCCTGACGCTCCCAGCGCTGGGCTCTGCTCTCTCCTTTCCTTCACCGGGGAGTGAGGCTGGGGGGGGGGGGGGGTGGTGAGGAGAGGGTGGCGTCAGGCCACAGGAGACATTCCCGGTTGTGACCCGGGATGTCCACAAGTAGCAGCAGCAACAGCAATCCCAGGGATGCACCCAGAGGAAGAAGTGCTCTTCCTCAAAGTGACCAGGAATGGTGCCCCTGGGAGCCCTATTTTGGGGCTAGTACCTCAGCACCGGACTCCTTTGAATCCAGTAGAGGAGAAAGCACCGCCCCACTGCTATCCAACTAGCGGGCACCGTAGCCTGGCTTGTCTGACCCGAGGGGCAGGCCCGTTGTAAGGGGCTCCGTCCATCTACCTTTGGGAACGGTTTCAGCCCTCTCTTCTTCCTTCTTCCCTTTTCCCTTCCCTCTGCAAATTGAGGTCGATAAAAAACCCCACCTCGGGGTACAAACCCATCCCTGTATAGCTTTCTGCTATGTTGCTCCTTTTCCCTTTACCTCTCCCTAAAATAGTCACAGAGACATTAAAATCGATGCTGATAAATATTTATTGACATAGAAAGAAGCCCACGACATATATCATTTGGTGAAAAAATACAGACTATAGAACAGCACTTCTAGGTGATCATTTTTATCTATACATACATCTATGTGGGTACACCGGTCTAGGGAAGTATCTAGAAGGACGTCCATCAAAGGGATGACGACGGTTAGATCGGGGCGGAGAGCTGGGGGTAACTTGTACTTTACTTTCTTGTACTTTTCTTTGTTTGAAGATTTAACAATGAATGATGCCACTTTCACAAAGAAAACAGGCCCTTAGGCAGGGGGGCTGGGGAAGCAAGGACAGAGGTCAGGCTGTCTCCCTCCACTGTGCTGGTATTCAAGACCCTCTCTACTCCACTCCCAAAGGAAAGCTGCTTTGTGGATTCATGCAATTAGAAGCGCCCCTCCCCAGTTGTCCCATTGCTGGACTCAGAATATGGGTTAGGGTTCATTTAAGGCTAGGGGACACCAGCTCACTGCAGCTCAGAAGGGTCATCTTGTTGGCCAGGGGCCTCTCTGGGTCCCTCCTCCTCTGTATGGGTCAGCTCCTGCAGGGTGATGATCAGATTCTCAAACACCTGGGCCCGGCTGCTGTCATTGTCACAGGTTTCCTTTGAGTGGCCCTCCTCGCCGCAGTAGGAGCAGCGGATTGTGTGTTTTCGCTTCCTGGTTCTACGCAGGTGCCTAGAACCATCATTCTTATGCCCAGAACCCCCGCTGGTGGAAGGAGACTGAGCCCGGGAACTGCTAGGGGAATCGATGACTAGCACTTGGTCCCGAGGTCTGGCCCTGCGTCTGGGGAGCGGAGAAGCCGTGAATGACAGTGGAGGGTCCTGCGACTCCACCAGGATCACATCCTCATCTGAGTCATCGAGGGCATCATCTATCTCTATCACGTTGCAGTCGGGACTGCCGACCACTATCTGCGGGGAGCCCTGAAATGCCATCAGGCTGGTGGCCCTCTCCACCAGTGACTCGGATCTTTTGGGCCGTTTCTGTTTAAGGAAAGTGTCATCCCAATCCTCTTCCTCCCTGACCATCTTGATCAACTCGAGGAAACTGGGGAGGCGCTCCTGCTCATTTGCATACATCCTGAGAAGATGCTTCAGCCTAAAGCGCAGGTCCCCGTTCAGCTCGGCCCCTAAAAGGAGCTGGTGCAGGCGGGACTGGTTTGCATCTTTCTGAGCTATGATCCCCGCCTGAATAGCATTCTGGAGCTGCACCTCTAAACGGATCACATAAAGGGAGGCTTTCTCCCCTTGCGCCTGCAGGGTGTTAAAAAATTTACCGTGAGCCGACACACTGCTTTCCGATTCTCCAAACACCAATTTCATGGCACGCAAGAAATCGGCCACACTCAGATTGGGGTTGGCCGCCTGCAGCAAAAGCATGACCTCCCTGGCGGGGCCTCGAAGTGTTTTCAGCAAGCGCTTGAGCTTCTCCTCCTCAGACATATTCCAATCCGGCAGGGCCCCATTGACTTGGATGAGCCAGTTTTCAAAGGTTTCTTCCCCCTGGGCTGGCACCACCCTCCCCGAGAACAACTTCATATTTCTCTCTGCCACGCTGGCCATTAAAGGGCCGAGGCTTCTCCCCAGGGACCTCAGCATAGAATGGGCCCAGGGCGGCAAGGGTGCGTTCTGCCGCCGGCTATTACCCATGCGCGCAATGATGCTAGCCATGACTGATGACGATCGGGGCGTCCGAATGGAACAAGACGCTCAGGCTTTGTGGGTTAGCCTAATGTGCAGGCGTGCTGGGGGACTCTCCTATCTCAGTAGGGGCTGTAAAGAAGAAAAAAAAAAAAACCGGGTAGTAGTTAATAAGGGAATTGGCTGCAGTCGTATTACTCTCTCCCTTCCTGCATATCCTGCAGTGCATCTTATATATGCCCACCTCCCTAAAAATATCTTCTGGGAGACTGGCGATTACAACCTCACGGAGCCAGCCGGTGTCTCGGTGTAAGCAGGGTGCTTTTTACGGCCACATCCAGCCAGTCGTTCAGGAGGGAGGGCAACTGTTGCTTCTAATTCTAAGTGTAATCGTGTGTACGGAAGCTGATATTGGCCTCTCAAAATAGAGCACAGTGGTCACAGATTTGTCGGAATCCATAAGATCTCGTTAACCTCTTGGTCTCAGGTCCCAACCACACCCCCTTCTGAAAGTCCCCCCGCCCCACCCCCGCCCCGGTTATGTCTCAGATTCTTACAGGAGCGCAGGAACGGGCGCGCGCGCGCCTTTATTTCACTTCCAGCTTCTGCAACCGGTGGCCTCCGCGAGAAAGCTCGTCTCCAGGCTAACAGCCGATCTCTGTCCACCGGGGAGGGGGGGGGTCGCCGATCCGAGACCTCCGGGCGTCAAGATTGCGCCGCCGCCGCGGAGGGCAGGGAAGGGAAGGGTCAGGAGCAGCCTCCTCGATCATCCCGCTCCCTCCTCCCCCCTCCACCCCCGCCACCCACCCCCTCCCCGCTGCCTCCGCTGTGGGTAGGCGGAAAATTCCCTCTCCCACCTTCTGAGCACAAGCCAAAGCGACCCCCGCCGCATTACATTTCCCCCGGGAAGTGGTCGGCCTACCAGCTCTGCAATCAGCCGCACAGAATTCAAGTTCGGATTCGGCTTTGATGGCCTGCCATGGAGATAGGGAATAGGAGTTGAACACGCACACCCACACAGCCCTCTCCAGAAGAGATGAAGGGATGCAAGGGGGGTTCAAGGCAGACAGCTTGCCATCCTTCCCTCCCCCCACCCCGACCCTTCGTCCCCCCTCCCCGGAAAGGCCCCGCCGCTCAATCCAGGCAAATCCTACCCATGAGGCGGCATCCAGCGCAACCCCACCTCCTCCCTCAGCGCTGCCGGTCCACGGGCGTGCTCCTCCCCACGCCTCGCCGTCCCCGGTTCCCCCAGGCGGGGAGCCACCCGGGACCGGTGCCCCTCCTCTCTCCGCCGCCGGGCAATCGCGCCCCCCTTTCTTTACCTGTGCTCGGCTCGGTAGGCTGCGGACCCTCGGGCCTTGCCAGCTGCGGATGCCGCCTTCCGGTCTCCGCGGCCCTGCGAGGGAAGAGGATGGGCACGTCCCCGGCCCGCTTAAGCGACCCGGAGCTGCCCGCGGAGCTGCTCCGCACGGCGCCCCCCGCCACCAGCGAGGGGTAGCTGAGTCCAGACAGCACGGTTCCCACGGCAGCCGCCGCTGCTTTTATCTTCGGCCCACGGAGACAAAAGAGCGTGACGAGAGAGCCGGCGCGGCCAATCGGCGGGGCGCGGGGGCGGGTCCCCGCGCGGTCTCGAGCCGGATGCAAATGTGCGCCCGAGGGGGGCGGGGTGAGGTGGGCAGAAGGGCCGGCGGGCGTCCAAGGCCGCTTCGGTGCCTGGACTGGAAGAGTTTGCGACTCTTGCCCGCTTCTCCCTCTTTTCGCTCTTGGCTCAACTCCGCGCCTTGGGGCCGGCGCATTAAACACCGAATGGGATCGAAATCAAGTACACAATAAAAGCGGCTCACCTTTGTATAGGGGGAAGGGAGGGAAAAAAAAAAAAAAGCATCAGCGCTTGCTCTGTGCAAATAGACTTACACAATTCTTTTACTGTGAAGGAGGTGGTAGCGTGTCCATGTCACAGGGAAGGCACTCGGGCATCCGGGCCCTTAACCAGTACTCACTAAGGTATGGGTGCAAGTCTGGCTGCATGAGAATCATTTGGGGGGGGGGGGAGGGAGCTGGTTAGAAATGCAGATTCCCGGGCCCCGCTTCCGGGGGGATTCCGATCGACTAGGACAAGAGCTGGGTGTGATTTTTGTTAAGTCGCTGTAGTTCATCCCGAGAGGATGTAGGAGGATGGTGAATTAGTAAATGGACCTGCCTCCAACGTATCTGTTTATAGCATATCTTGGGTGAAATGCAGCTCCAGAGCGGACGCTCCTACCTGGGGTCCACGGTCTGCCTGAAATTGGATGCAAAGATTCTGGACTCTGTAGGAAGCTGAATAATGGCCACCCAAATATACCAAGTCCCAATCCCCGGAACCTGCAGATGTTAACCTCGTATAAAGTAAGAGTCTTTGCAGATGTGGTTAGATTAAGGATCTCGCCGTCAGGAGATGCTCCAGGAGTATCTGAGTGGGCCCTCAATGCAATCTCGCATCCTTGTAAGACAGAAGAAGAGGGAGAGCTGACGCAAACAGAAGAGGAGAAGGTGATGTTGAAGACTGATGCAGGGATTGGAGTGGCGTGGTCACAGGCAAAAGTGCCCGCGGCCACCGGAAACCGGAAGAGGCAAAGAACAGAGCACAGCCCTGCCCACACCTTGAATTGAGCCCAGAGAAACTGATGCTGAACTTCTGGTCTCCAGAACCATCGGGGTATAAATTGTTTTAAGCCCCTGAGTTGGTGGTAATTAGTTAGGGCGGCCACAAGAAACTAATACAGACGCTATATTTCTCGGAGTCCAGAGCTTTGCACATGTTTAGATGGGCCTGTGGTCCAGTAATGGTTAAAAACCACCCCCCTCCAACCTTTCTCCATTTAGTATCTTTCTCCTTCATTTTGTACTTGAGGAAGAAGTATGAGGACTAACACCCAACGCAACTCGCCTAGACCCCCCCGAGCCACAGCTCTCTGCCGGTGATGGAGCTCTTCCATTTCTCAACCCGAAGACTGCATTCTAGGTCGCCCTTCTGTGAGCTCTTGAGCGGACCCCTCCTTTGCCGGGTTGGGCATCACTGGCCTCAGAGAAGGAGCAACTCCGTGAAAGGGAGTCTGTCCGGAGTGAATGGGTCGGAAGTCAGTGGCTCCACGTATGAGACTGCTGGGGCTGCCATAACCGAGGGCCACAGAGCCGGTGGCTCAAACAGGGGACATTTATTTCCTCACAGGTCTGGAGGCTAGGAATCCAGATCAAGGTGCACACAGGATTGGTGTCCCCTGAGGTCCCTCCCCTTGGCTTGCAGACAGCTGCACTCTTGCTGCCTCTTCACAGGGTCTGTGTGTGCCTGCTCCCACCTTCAAATGTCCTCTTCTTCTAAGGACCCCAGTCAGATTGGACTAGGACCCACTCTGACAGCTTCATCCTGACTCAGTCGCCTGTCTTACGGGCCCATCTCCACCTACAGTTACGTCCTGAGGTACCGGAGGCCAGGGCTCCCGCCCGTGTGCTCTGGAGGGACACAATTCAGCCCGTAACACCCTCGTTCCCCTTATTCTGGAACAGCATGGCTCCTTTCCCCACTTGGGACTTTTCGGGGGCCAGGGTGCTGGGGGCATGCGTTGCACGAGTGGACGGCCCACGCACAAAGCAGTTGCTGTTGCTTTTTCGTGACTGGTGATGGCTGGAAGTGAGTCAACAGTGGGGTGCCCTTCAAGCTACTGTTGGGTTCCTCTTTAGCACTCAAGGTACTTCACCTGCTCCTTTCTGCTTTCTTTCTTTTTTTTTTT